GCTGTGAGGTTGCGGGTTTGTCTTTGTAGGTAACCCTGTGTCCCCAGGGAGGGTCCCTGAGACCTTGCTGCTGCCCACAGCCCTCTGACCAGGAACCCCTGATGCTGACTGCAGCCAGACAAGGAGGGTGGGGAAGGCAGGGGGCTTGGGAATCCGGTGTGCACCTGCCTTAGCTGTTTCATTGCTGCCCGTTGGGGCTGTTTCAGGGAGCGTTAGAGTGGGTGCCCAGGAGAATAACATCTCAGCACAGGATAGACTATGTAGGGGAAGAATTCAAGCCCCCGTGGGGGAGGCAAGGGTAGCCAGGGTGGGGGAGGGGTTCCAGCGCTGCCTCTGGGCCTCTGGGCCACTTGGAAGCGCCCTGCCCGAGGCACGAGGACACTCCAGGCTGTAAATGCCACCCACATTGGGAGCCGGGACCTGAGAAAGGGCAGGAGAGAGAATGCCAAGAATTCAGTGTTTGTGCTGCATCTGCTGCCTCCCCCCTTCCCTTGGTGCCCTTGTCCCCCACACTGTCCCTACACGTCCACTGTACGTCAGAGCCCGGCTGTTCCAGCCTCCTCGCAAGACAGGTATGAGAATCACTATTTATTCATTTTTTAAGAAGGAAGATAAATGCATTTAAATTTTTTATTTCTGTAAAGCCGACCCAGGTTTGATTCCTCCGCCCATCTCGGAGAGCCCGGCAAGCTACCGAGAGTTATCCCCCCCGCAAGGCAGAGCCTGGCAAGCTCCCCGTGGCATATTTGATATGCCAAACAAAGTAACAACAAGTCTCACAATGGAGACGTTACTGGTGCCCGCTCGAGCAAATCGATGAACAGCGGGAGGACTGTGCTACAGTGCTACACTCTCTAGTGGTGATTTCTCCACCAGGCTCCTGTGAGCCTGGTGAAAACGGCTTAGACAGTGGGTAGGGGCTCAGGGGGCACCCAGGGAGAAAGCTGGAGACACGTGTGCGTCTATGTCACAGTGTCAGCTCCCGTGGCTGCTGTTCCTCTGCTCTCCCTGGGTCTCACGGCGGCTCAGGATGACAGTGACCCAGCCGTGTCCCCAACACTGTTCCTCTTTCTCCTGCTCTCACACTTGATCCAGCAGCAATTCCAGTGGCTTTGCTCAGTGACCCACCTGACAGGCAGGAGGAGGTGGGGCTGGGTGAGGGGTCCTGCCCCTGGGCCACCCCGCTGCGTCCCTTCTCTCTACCCCTCGAGGGCGGGCTGGGGAAGATGGGTTTGATGGCTGCAGGGAGGCCCCGGGCTTTTGTGCCGCCGTCCGGGGGCCCCTCTGTGTGGCTGGCTGTGGGGGAACCACATTCTGGGCGCACGGAGCGGGTGCCCAGATGGTGCCTGTGTTTACCGGAGCCCGGCATGCTGACAGGACCTGCACACACACATAAATATTTTGCCTTCCGTTGGAGGCAATATTTGAGTCTCTGGGATTTAATTGCTGTCAAAACCAGGATGTGCTTCCCCACCCCCCGCCCAAAGCAAAGCAAATAGTGAGGGTCTCCAGCCCGGCTGCTCCCCCCTCCCCCCTCCCAGTCTGTCTGGCCACCTGCTGTCCCTGTCCCTTTCGTCAGCAACTTGCTCTTGGCCCGAGACAAGTGTCTCCTTCCCTCCTGGACCAGGCAGGCTGTGCTGAGGGATGAAGCCGCAGGCGCCGGCAGTGAGGACGGAACCCGGGGTTTTGGTTCTTGAGGTGGGGGGAGTCCAATCAGAGCTCGGGCATCAGGCCCTGGTCTCACTGACACCCCAAGACCAGCCTGGCCCTCACCAGCGAGGTCTTATTCTGAGTCTCTGAGGATGGCTCCAGGAGGGTGTGGCTGCAGTTTGAAACTAGCAGTGCAGGGGCTGGAGCGATAGTACAGTGGGTAGTCTTGCATGCAGCTGACCTGGGTTCGATCCCCGGCATCCCATATAGTCCCCTGAGCAGCGCCAGGAGTAATTCCGCTGAGTGAAGAGCCAGGAGTAACCCCTGAGCATCACCAGGTGTGACCCAAAAAAGCCAAAAAAAAAAAAAACCAACAAACTAACAAACAAAATAAAAGAGAAAAAGAAAAGAAAAAAGAAACTACCAGTACCAGCTTCATGCAAACTTAGAGGCAGCACCCCCCTGGCAGGGGTACCCCACACCTGTCCAGACAGAACTTGCAGCAGCAGGATTTGGCTCCCAGAATCTCTTTGTGCAGACCGCAACCTGCCCAACTAACCATGTCCAACATCAAGGGCCAACGGGCCGTTGGCATCCTTGTTTCAACCTTGACCTCTTCCATTTTTTCCCTTCTCTCTACTTCCTGCCCCTACTCCTTCATTTCTTCTGTTTGTTGCCCGTTGGGTCATGGTTACAGGTTGTAGTGAGACTATTCTCCCTAGTTGTTTCTTCAGCCTCTCTTCCTGTAATTACACAGCTTCTGCCTCCCTTGTCCAGACTGGGAAGAAGTGGGTGCAGTGGACACCCACCCAGCCCTGCAGTGCTGTCCCCATCCCCTCTGAATTATTATACCCGGAGCAATAGCATAGCAGGTAGGGCGTTTGCCTTGCACGCGGCTGACCCAGGTTCAATTCCTCCGCCCCTCTTGGAGAGCCCGTCAAGCTACTGAGAGTATCTTGCCCACACAGCAAAGCCTGGCAAGCTCCCCGTGGTGTATTAGATATGCCAAACACAGTAACAACAAGTGTCACAATGGAGATGTTACTGGGCCCCGCTCAAGCAAATCCATGAGCAACAGGAGGACAGGGCTATAGTGCTACAGTTTGTCTCAATTAGTTAATTTTGTGTTTTGGCTACACCTGGTGGCTCCCAGGGCTTGTTCCTGGCCCTGTGCTTAGAGATCACTCCTGGTAGAGGATCCCGTGGCGTACTGGGTGTCCAGCCTGGGCTGGCTGTGGACAAGGCCACTGTGGACAGTTCCAGCCCATCTCAATTATTTCAGTCCCACACGTACCAGAGGGGCAGTTGGGCCTTGGCCCATCGGGCTCTTCCTGGGTTGGTGCAGCCCTGTGCTGGGGCTGGGGTGTCTGAGCTGAAGGAATCTGACAGTTCCTGTCCTCGAGAAACTCTTGATGCAGTGGAGGATTTGGGCTTGCCAACAGCTCAGTGACACCCCGTTGGCATGTGTGCTGGGGGGCGCAGGGGTGAGGGGCTGCCTGAGCGGGCTGTCTCCTGGATGCCAGGAAGGCTGGGCTGCCCTGCAGGTGTGGGTGTGGGATGGGTGCACATGGGCCTGGGGTGTGGGGGGCAGAACTGGACGGGCAGCTTCCAGCCAGAGAAGAAGAGTCACAGACTGGACTTCGGCCAGTGATGGTGGGAGTGGCTGGCTTGGGGTGCACTGGGATATTTTGCCTAAGGAGGGGGCCTTTTGGGCTGGAAGGAAGCTAGTGACACACTCTAAGCTTGTTGGTGATGGGGTTGCTTTTCCTTCCTTGAGCACTCTTTCAACAGTGGAGCACTCCCTCAGCAGTGGAACACTTCCCGGAGCACTCTTTCAGCAGTGGAGCACTCCCTGGAGCACTCCCTCAGCAGTGTTCAAGGTGGCCTGCTGGAGGAAGATACTGGGGCCCTTCTTGGGCTTACATCCAGGCGCTGTGATTTCTCTGGGTTCCAATCTGTGTTCGAACTGGGATTGTCAGCATGCAAGGCAAGCCACTTCCCTGCTATATTATGTCTTTGGCTCGCAAAACCAGATTTTAAACTTCTTCTTCCCCGATACCCCAATTTCTTTAACAGTCGTTTGCCTTGGATTCTTTGCAATGCGCTGACTCTGACTTTTCATATCCTCAGATAAGCAAGGGGTGTCCTGCTGCCTGTAGGAGGTCGGGTCATAGGGAGGATCCCGGGCTTGCCTTTAGGAATTTGCAAACATGTGGATTTGTGACAGTTCTGTCTCCAGAGGAGGAAAATTCTCTGACCTAAGGGTGTAGTAGAATCACTCAAAAAGCTTATCAAAATTCCAGAGACAAGGGCCAGGATAAAACTCTTTGGTAGTACACAGAGCTTGCGTGTGTGAGACCCTGGGTTTGATTCCCAGAACTCCATGACTCTCTGCCCATAATAAAATTCAGGTGACAGGATCTGCCAATGGTTGGCCTGAGAAAGTGCCCTCCCAGCAAAGTGGCAGCGGTTGCAGATGCTTGGGTGCTAGAACCGACCAATGTTAGAGGTCTGAGAGGCTCTAACACCAGGAATGCTTTGCTAATGGGACTCACTGACTTGCACTGGGTTACCAGCGGCTTTTCCATCTCACTGCTCTCTGATCAGGGTTCTGATGTGTGTGAAGAACTCGTGGCCTTGCTCCCTCTCAGACCCCTGGGGAGAGAGTGGACCAGAGACAGTGGGGTGTGGGTGCCAGTGTGTGTGAGGGCGGGGGAGGGATGTTCCAGGGAACAGGGTACCCTGGGAGCACACGGAAGGCAGCGTGGCCCAAGGTGGTATCCTCTGCTAGAGTGTGGGGGTGAACATGGCCCTGTGCGTGTCCTGGGATGCCACGCATGCTCCCTGGATGAAATCTGCCTGTCTTCCAGGTTATTTGGGGGCTACATTCACGGTTATCAGGGCTTATTCCTGATGGAGCTGTGGGGAGCATTTGTGGTTCCCCGGGATCAAACCCAGGTCGGCTGCGTGCAAGACAGACCACCTTCCTTGCTGGACTGTTGATTATAACACAGAGCCAGGAGTAAGCCCTGAGTAGAGCTGGAGGTGGAGCCCAAACAACCCCCAAACAAACAAACAAAACCCCAGCCCTGATGGCCTTCAGGTCCCAGCAAGCCACTCTGTCCAGCTAGTGCTCTTCCCTCTGAAGGGTCCTGTGCCCATGGTTCCCAGGGAGAGACAAGGTACTGTGGTTCTCAGGGAGAGACGAGGTACTGTGCGCTTTACTGCTTCTCTTTGCAGTGGGACAGTAGATGGCTCTGGCCCAGTAAGTGGGGCCAGAGCCCCCTCCCCATACCTCGGCCCCCCAGTGTGGTGGCTGTTCATTGACCTCTGGCCTCTCTCTTTGCCAGGAGAAATTGAGCGATGCACCTACATCAAATACCACTACTCCTCAGCCACCATCCCCAGGAACCTCACGTTCAACATCACGAAGACCATCCGCCAGGATGAATGGCATGCACTGCGTAAGTACCCCGCTTTCCTTTTTTGGGTGGGTCTCAGCCTACGGAGGGCACGACAATAGGGCCATCCATCCCGATGGCCCACCCTATCTACTGAGCAAGGTTTCAGCCCTCGGTGACATGGTCACATTTCCTCGTGGTTGGGTCAGAACCCACCTGGCTGGTTTCTGTGGCATTCTAGATTTAGGGCATTAGTTTCCAGAATGCAGCTCAGCAAACAGCCCATTGATCAACCACCCAGGGCAGAAAACAGCTCCTAGGGTCTTGCTGTGCTACCTGGCCCTGAGCCAGCCACTCCTGCCACTCAGCGCCTGGTGGCCTCTGAGGCAAGGAAGGGTTACTGTGGCAACCTGAGCCCCCATCGCCACCCCACCTGATGCCTGCACCACCCATCCAGGCTGAGAGCGGCCTGCATGGGCCTTTGTGTTGGGGTCTACTCAGGAAGGATGGAGTCCCCGGCTCACCTGTATCCACTCCTCTTAACTCCATAGGCACTTGTGGGTTGGGGGGTGTCCAGGGATTCAGGGAGCTGATGACTAGGGTCAGCTGACTGGGTGTGGAGGGACATGGGGGGTGGGCAGGGTGGGGAAACACATTCTTCCTGTTGGCTAGATGTCTTCACTGCATTTTTCTTTTCTTTCCTCTCTTTCTATTCTTTGCACATAATGTCACATGGTTTGGATTCAATTTACATTCACACGGGAAATTCACTTTAGGTTCATATAAAGGTCTTTGAGTGTTTTAGAGGGGGACGTCTCCCGGACTTGGGGGGTCTGGAGGACTCTCTTGGCAAAACTTGGCCAAGGATGCAGTGCTGCTTGGGCCTTACAGTTCTGGGTGCCAGAGTGATGCTTTGTGGGGCTGAGGGGTCCCCAGGGCCACACCCAGCAGTGCCAGGGGAGAGCCATAGGGAGCCACAACTGGTGGCTGTTTGCAAGGTATATGCATAAGCGCCTCCTCCCTCCTGCCCCCCCCCTCCATTGCTCTCTGCCTGGCTCTGGGCCTTTGATCTAATTTTATTCTTGTGGTAGCAGAACCCAGGCCCACTCCCTGTGAGGCACGTGTGTTCTCCACTCTTACTATTCGTTGGTAACAAGGAACCAGTGTGGGTGACCACTGCAGAAGGCTCCTCAGAGCTTTCTCTCTCTCTCTCTCTCTCTCTCTCTCTCTCTCTCTCTCTCTCTCTCTCTCTCTTTCTCTCTCTCTCTTTCTCTCTCTCTGTGTCTCCCTTCCCCCTTTCTCTCTCTCTCTCTCTCTCTCTCTCTCTCTCTCTCTCTCTCCTCTCTCTCTCTTATTTTACTTTTTGCTTTTTGGGTCACTTCTGGAGATGCACAGGGGTTACTTCTGGCTCTGCACTCAGGAATTACTCCTGGTGGTGTTCGGGGGACCATATGGGATGCTGGGAATCGAACCCGGGTTGGCCGTGTACAAGGAAAATGCCCTACTTGCTGTACTATCGCTCCAGCCCATGTTCCTGGTTTGATTCTGATCAATCCACCAGCATGAGGGGTGGAGGGTGATGACAGAGCCGATTAGTCACGTGTAAGACTCAGGAAAAAGCTTGGGCCAGGGGTTCTGGGTGGTTGTTGTCAACCGGTGGCCTGACATGCCCAGGACCATGGGACAGTGGATGGGGGGGCCTGAGCCACAGTATCACCCTCTATGCTGTGCTTGTTGCTGGGGCTGCCAGGGACTCTAGTGGTCAGGAGTTGCCCATGCCAGACGCTGAGCTGAGCATGCTGCATATTTAATTTATTTTGCAGGGGGTGAGGGAGATTCCTTGGGAGATCTCGGGGTTCTCAGCACCACTTCCCCCAATGCTCAGCCCCTGGCCAGGCGGTTCCTTGCCAGGGCTCAGCAATGTGAGCCTGCCTGTGTCAAGAGTGGTTCATGACCATTGTGGCCACGGCCAGGCTGAGCCAGGGATGGGACTGGGCTGTCCACAGCTCAGGTCTGTGCTCCATCCCTTTACGCCATCTCCCTGCCTCTGACCCCCTGCCTTCATGTTTCTGGTGTTCCAGGGGATCCATTTCCTTTTGTTTTGAGAAAGCTACTCCAGACCCCTCGTATCAAATGACTTCACCGTGGTTGCTTATGGCCTGCGGTGAGAGAGTATAGGTGGGGCCACGCCACACGGTTGATAAGCTTTGTGAATTAAGCACTTAGATATCCCTTAGGTTTGGGGGATGGGTCTCGATAGAATCAAAGAAGGAAGAATCTGTCGACCTAGCAGCTTTGGTTCTGGCTCGCTCGTCAACCTGTTGGTGAGTTTCTCTCCGGATCAGATGTTGAACAGAGACCAGGACCACAGGGTGCTCTGAGGGGGGCTTGGGGAGGGGAGATACGTTCACAGAGCAAATCATTGCAAGGAAATGCGATCATTACCACAGGGTGTAATCACTTCAATGAAGATATTTTGTGAAAGTTTCCCACTGAGCAGGGGAATGATTTCTGTGTCAGCAGCCTAGTCATGCTCACGGCCGCCTAGTAGTTTTCTTGTGCCCCCCCCCCCCCCAGGAAGATCTCTGCAATTCACACGGAGGGCTCACTGCATCTCTGAAGTAGGGTCCTAGGGCATCAGCAGAGAGCTGACCCCGAGCTTCCTAGGGTCTTCTGCATGCCTTGGGTCTCCCTCCTAATTCCCAAACACGGGTGCTACTGGAGCCCACAAAATCTAGGGAGCACTTAGAGCAATGCATTGGGGTGCTAGTATGATACTATTTTTTTGGGGGGGGTGTTCACCATATAGGGTGCTCAAGGTTTATTTCTGACTGTCCTCAATCATCACTCTTGGTGGTGCTCCAGGGACTATATGAAGTGTTGGGGGACCAAACCAGGGCTGGCTGTGTGCAAAGCAAGTACTTTCCCTTGTACTATACTCCAGCCCCTAGATCTGCTCTTTTTTGTTTGTTTGTTTTTAATTTTGGGCTACACCCAGCGATCCTCAGGGTTTATTACTGCTCTGCACTCAGGGATCACTCCTGGTGGGCAGGGGACCATATGGGATGCTGAGGATCGAACCTGGGTCAGCCACATGCGAGGCAAATACCCTTTCTGCTGTACTATGGCCCCATCACATTTTTTTTTGTTAGTTTTTGTTTTGGGGCCACACCTGGCTGTGCCTTCAGGAATCACTCCTGGCAGTGCTTGGGGGACCATACAGGGTGCCAGAGATTGCACGTGGGTTGGCCATGAGCAAGGCAAGTGCCTTGCCCTGTAATCTATCCCTCCACCCCACTAGATCTGTTCATAGCTGATAAAGAGCTGAGGTTTTGTAGACTCCATGCAGATGAGTGGGGTATCCTCTGGCGAAGACTTATCTGCTGCTTTTACAGAATGGCACAGAAAATGTTTTTGCTTGTTAATGGTTAAATGCTGCTGGTACTGGGTGAAAGGAAGCACATCAGCCCTTTAGGGAATAAAGTAGAAATGGATATTTTGGGTTTGTTTTTGTTCTAGGGCCACACCTGGTGGTGTTAAAGGCTAACTCCTGGCTCTACACTCAGGGATCACTCCTGGTGGGGCTCAGGGGTCATATGGTGTGCCAGGGATTAAACCCAGGTTGGCTGCATATAAGACAAACACCTTACCTGCTGTACTATCACTCCAGTCCTGAAGTAGAAACAGATTTGCAAACTGTAATGTTATTCTTGGGAAATGAAAACACATCAGACTGATTACTTTCAGTGCTATACTGATTCAGCCTGGCAATGGAATCTTAAATGAGTGTGTTTGATACTCGATTGGAGGTCATTTTATAACTGAATCCTAACACCTATGTCCAGTAATTTTTTTTAGTAGATGCTTTTTGCCAAAAGAAAGAAATGGAATCCCCCTCCCCCAAAACAACTTCTAGAAAAGTTTGGATTTCTGTAAAACTTAAGTTGCGATTTTTCATCAAAAACTTGCAATAGCTACATACCGTGACGGGATCTTTTTTTTTTCCTTAAGAAAAACCCAATTTGCGTGCCAGAGAGATATTATATTAGTACTTGCCTTGCATGCACCGTCTGGGGTTTGATCCCTGATACCCCCAGATAGTCCCCTGAGCCCCGAAGGAGTGATTCCTGAGTGTAGAGCCAGGAGTAACCCCTGAGCATCACCAGGCATGCCCCCCCCCCCCCCAAACAAACAATCCCAGTTTGGTTTAAAATTGCATGGTGTGTTTGAACAGTCGCTGCAGCGAGGGGGGAGAAGTCCCATCTGCCTTCCCACCCTGTTGCTGTCCCAGCTGACTCTGTGGCCCTGAGTGGCATCTGTCCAGCCCCTGGGTGCTCTGCCCACCCGGCTACGCCTCATGTCCTGTCCAGGACTGGAGTGGGGTGTCTGAGCGTCCCTGGGCGGTGCGGCTGTGGTGGCCGACTGGGTGCTGGCTGGCACTCAGAGGCCTCGCAAATGTCTCTTCTCCCTCCCTGGAAGAGCCCCACAGGCTTTACACACTCCAGGGATGTTCTGTTGGAGGGTGCGGTGCCTACTGGGAGAATTCAGTGTCCTTAGGAGCCCCTGAGGGTGCCCCACGGGCGCTGCTCTCCCTGCACTCCCTGCACCCATGGACTCACCTGGGGTCTGGGTGCTGCTAGGGGCTCCTGTCAGGGAGAAGCAGGCGGCCAGGCATGTCGCTGTCTGAAGAGGTGGCCAGGAAGAGCTGCCGGGTGTGGACTGGGCATAACCCCCTAGGCCCCCAGAGGCCTCCAGACGTGGGGAAGGTGCCCCTTCATCTCCGACCAGCCTGCAGGCAACCTACCCAGCCTCCGAGCCCCAATTTCCTTGCTCACGGCTGATTCCCACTGGCTTTGGGCAGTGGGGAGGGTGCCCTGCTTTCTGTCATCTGATTCTCTCCAGTACCTTTCTGGAGGCTGAGAGCCAAGAAAGTCAGAGTTTTTTTTTTTTTCCCCAAAGCTTCCGTCTGTTATGACTGGAAGTTCAGCTAATTAGATCAGATGGTCACATGGCACATTTCCAGCTGGCCAGGGAGGGCATGAGATGGCTTCCTCCTGCATGCC